ATTTAGGGGCAGGAGCCACGGTGGCTAGGTGGTTAAGACGCTGGCTCGCTAGCCTGGAGGTTTGGTGTTCGATCCCTGCATTGGCCGAGAAAGTTCATCTGGACGTGGTTTCCGACGTGGTTTCCCCTTGTCAGTGGTGCAGAATTGAGGGCCTGACAAGGACAGCTGTCTAGTCCTTCGGACGAGACGAAAAACCCGAGGTCCCGTGCATACATTGGAATGCACGTAAAAGATCCCTTGGCAGTTGGAACTCGATATAAGAGTAGGCGATAGTGCCGCTGCCCGGGCAAAATTTCCCTCATAGCACACTGTATGGCGTATGCCCGTCTTCATTAGCCCAGTATAGGAGCAGAACAGTAGGACGTTAAACCCCATTTCTTTTCATTTCATTTAGAGGAAGAAATTATTCTTATTTCATTTGTTATAAATATGGTTTAGATGTACGATTTGTGACAAGTTAATAAGTACATTACTATTATTTGATAATCTAGGTGTATTATGATATAGATTTAATTACAGTGGTTGATACTAATCTCTAATTGACCAGTGTGTGTTACTAATCTGTTGTTGACCAGTGTTTGTATGTATGTAACTAAGATTAGTTGTTACTATAGACAAATTAGAGTATATATAAACTTTTAACTACTGTGTTTAAATCATTATTATTATAACTTGTCTACTGACTACATCAGTTATAGCAAGCTTTATTTATTTATTTATTTATTTGTTACTGATCTTTTATTCGACAATATGGTAAGTGCATTTTATACTGATTTGTATAATTCTATGAAACAAATCTGAATTGGAACTTGAAGTACAAACTGAAATTAATTTGGGTTTAACCGCTTATTTTTCTACACCAATAAAGATTGGTATATACCGGCCATATAGTGTACTATGAGGGAAATGTTGCCACCACAGTTGCTCTATAGTAAAACATTTTGTTCTTTTCGTACAATACTAGATAGTTTCTCAATTATTTATATCGTTTGTTTTTCAGCGTGAGTGTATCTCTGTTCATATCGGCCAGGCTGGTGTCCAGATGGGCAATGCCTGTTGGGAGTTATACTGTTTGGAACATGGTATCCAGCCTGATGGTCAGATGCCTTCAGATAAAACTATTGGAGGTGGAGACGATTCCTTCAACACATTCTTCAGTGAGACGGGAGCTGGTAAACATGTACCAAGAGCTGTTTTTGTTGACTTGGAACCAACGGTTGTAGATGAAGTAAGAACTGGTACCTATCGTCAACTCTTCCATCCTGAACAACTCATCACTGGTAAAGAAGATGCTGCCAATAACTATGCTCGAGGTCACTACACCGTGGGTAAAGAAATCATTGATTTGGTTCTCGACAGAATCAGGAAATTGGCTGATCAATGTACTGGTCTTCAAGGATTCCTCATCTTCCACAGTTTTGGTGGTGGAACCGGTTCTGGTTTCTCATCTCTTCTCATGGAAAGATTGAGTGTCGACTATGGCAAGAAATCCAAGTTAGAGTTCGCCATTTATCCAGCACCACAAATTTCCACTGCTGTGGTTGAACCCTACAACTCTATTCTGACAACTCACACCACTTTGGAACATTCTGACTGCGCTTTTATGGTTGATAATGAAGCTATTTATGACATCTGTCGCCGTAACTTGGATATTGAACGTCCAACTTACACCAACTTGAATCGTTTAATTGGCCAGATCGTCAGCTCCATCACCGCCTCTCTACGATTTGATGGTGCCCTTAATGTTGATCTTACTGAGTTCCAGACCAACTTGGTTCCCTACCCACGTATCCATTTCCCCCTTGCTACCTATGCTCCAGTTATCTCTGCTGAGAAAGCCTACCATGAACAACTTACCGTGGCTGAAATCACAAACGCCTGTTTTGAACCTGCCAACCAGATGGTAAAATGCGATCCTCGTCATGGCAAGTACATGTCTTGCTGTATGTTGTACCGAGGAGATGTTGTTCCCAAAGATGTCAATGCTGCCATTGCCACCATCAAGACCAAGAGAACCATCCAATTTGTTGACTGGTGTCCAACTGGTTTTAAAGTCGGTATCAACTACCAACCACCAACTGTTGTACCAGGAGGGGATTTAGCAAAGGTACAGAGAGCTGTTTGTATGTTGAGTAACACTACGGCTATTGCCGAAGCTTGGGCTCGTCTAGATCATAAATTTGATCTGATGTACGCTAAGAGAGCTTTCGTCCACTGGTATGTTGGTGAAGGTATGGAAGAAGGTGAATTCTCTGAAGCTAGAGAGGATTTGGCTGCTCTAGAGAAAGATTATGAAGAAGTTGGTGTTGATTCTGTTGAAGGTGAAGGAGAAGAAGAAGGAGGTGAAGAATATTAAATAAAATATTTTCATGTAATAAAAGTAATTTCGTTTGATATCTGTATTTGTTTCTCTTAGTTAACTGGGTTATGGGAATGTATTGTCAATGGTGTTTGTGGAACGTCCTACTTTTCTGCACCGATTGGTCCAGTGAAACGGGTTTAAACCATACAGTGTGCTATGAGGCATAGCCTACTTTTATTTCGCGTTCGCCTACGTTCACGCTAATATGTACACGGCACCTCAGTCTATCATCACACCAGAACGACTAGACACTGTCCTTGTCAGATCACCCCCCCCCCCCCCCGTCCTGCACCATTGGCAAGGGCAAACCACGCCGGAAAATATCGAGGAACTTTCTTGGGATCGAATCCGAAACCTACAAGTTAGCGAGCCATCATCTTACTCACCAAGTCACAGCGGCTCCCCGAATGCAATAGCCAGGAATTAAAATGCGATGTTGAATGTGCACCGAATGAGGGCTCAGGGAATAACCATAATATTTTCAAATATAAGTTAGAAACCCTCTGCTCTTGGGGGGTCTTGGTGTTTCATTTTAATACCAACACATCAGGTAACTTGTGTCACTACCATAAGGGTTGTTATTGAATCAATCAAAGGCCGTGATTTGGATCCCAGACTTTTCCGTGATAAGAAATACGGCCGCCGGGGTTGGTTTTCTCTCATTGACAAAGAATAGCAACATGTCGAATGTTGTCTAATAGAAACTAAATAGATATCAAACTCATTGTTTTTCTCAGGGTGCCTCGTTTATTTTACCACTGCCTCTCTATATCTAGAGTTAGATATACCACTGTTTCTATGTATCCAAATTTAGATAATCACTGTGTGTATGTGTATCCAGAGTTAAATATACTACTACCTCTGTATCCAAATTTAGATACAGTACTGTTTCCCCGTATCCAGAGTTAGAGGGTCCCCTGTCTCTCCGTATCCAGATTCAGAGGTTCCACTGTCCCCCCGTATCCAGAATTAGAGGTACCACTGCCCCCCCCCCCCCGTGTCCAGAGTTAGAGGTACCATTGTCTCCCCGTATTCAGATTTAGATACATCACAGATTCGCTGTACCCCCAGTTATACACGACTGTATCAAAATTTAGATGTACCACTATCTCTCTGTATCCAAATTTAGATTTCTCTTTTTTTATCTTCTCGTGAAAATCTCGTCTCTCTGTTTTGATGTTGTTTTGTCAATTAATACAATAATATTTTTTTTTATAAAATACAATATTCAGTGATATATTGATAACTCACAAATATTGAGTATGTTGTATATTGTTATTAGACAAACGAAATAAATATCATAAAATTGAATTAAATGGGGTTCAACACAAAACGTTTGCCAGGAAAACATCGTTTCTACCTATGCGTCGAATTACAACTAACAAGGGTTCTTTTATATATACGGACGGACCGCAGTTTATCGTCCCGCCGGATCAACTAGACACACTGGTCCCTGATCCGTGAGAGTCTTACCGCTGATTACTGCCGCCCCTAAGATATTAAAAGATATATTTCTGTCATATTGAAAAAACCCCACACAAATTACATGACAATGCAAAATATCGACTGCAAATGTTAAATTAATAATTTGAAGCACTTACAAAATTCTCAAATTTCAGTTGTTGCTGTACAGAATACGACGAATTCATGTGAAAATCACACACATTTAGTATTGTTTGATAGATGGAAAGTAGCATATTTAGGTAAACATCACACTTGTAACACAAAGTACAAGGTATTCACATCCTAAAATAGTTTTAAAATCATCTCAGCAGTTAGTAGGTTAATCTGTATGCATTGAGTTCTAGTTTAACAGTTTAAAATCAACTCGGTAGCTAATAGATTAATCTGCATTCAATGAGTACTAGTTTAGCATATCTTTCAAATCAACTTATATGTAAACTTTTTATGTTTATTTCCCCTTCACCTCTCCATTTGATCGAAAAGCCCAATTTGCTCAAATATGAGCTTGTTTACACAATTTTAGGGGGCCCCCTTTGAATATTTCTGGTGTGACGCCCTACAAGAAGTGCCCCCACCCCCCGGGCATATGCCCCGCCCCCCTCAGCCCCAACCCTATGTGAAAACCCGAACTCACTATTGAACGTAGAACGAAGATATGGTAGACATTGTCGAAATCCACCTAATATCTCAGCTTTTGCCATGTGAATAAATTTAAGCCAGAAAAAAAACCTGCATCACACAGCTTTGACTGTTACATATTGCTTCTTTAATGACATAATACAAAAACACATTACACTGACAAAGGAAATGAAAATTAAACATTAATGGATTTTTGTAAGTGCCAACCACTCAGTTCAGTAGTCAAAAATATTTACTTTCTTTCCCTGGGGGGTGGGGGCGAATGGTTAGCGCGTACGCGTTGTATCATAAGGTCTGTCATTGAGTCAGCTGCTGTGGTTTCGATTCTCCAGTTGTACATGACACGGTGTAGGGTGGCCTGTCCAGCCTCGTGGGTTTTTTCAGTTTCTCCGCCCCCCCCCCCCATTGCTAAAAACCCCTACGCGCAGGCGAATTATAGAAATAAAATTGAACCTTGTGTTAGTCCCAAAATTACCAAGTTTTTGTCCAGTGGACGTTACTCTCTCTCTCTCTCTCTCTCTCTCTCTCTCTCCATGTTGGGTGTTGTTGTTAGAATCATGTACGTAATTACAACATTCGCCTCGATTGTAACACTTACTTCAAATCTGTTAGTCATGGGCTTGTTCGTATCCTGTTTCTACTACAAAATGGCGAATTTTGGGTGTTGTTGTTGTTTGAATCATGTACATATTTACAATATTTCCCTCGGCTATAACACTTAAATTAACACTTTAGACATTGCATTGCCAAATTTCGAGTTCGTATCCTGTTTCTATCACAAAAAGGTGAATTTAAAAATAAAACTACAATCTGTTACACATAAAACCTTTCATACATTTTCAAAACAAACAAGAAATCTGTCATATGTTGTTTTTTTTTATAATTAAAACAGTAATCATTTAACAAGTCCTGATCTATATAAGATCATCATAAATCGTCCACTTTACAAGCAGTTTCCTTATCGTACAAAGAGGATAGAAGCTATCGACATATTAAGGTAAGCTAATATTATATATTCTTTATTCTGATTTGTTGATTCTGAGCCGAGGTGGGTTCGATCCCGGTGCTGAATGAGACTATTCGCCAGGATTTTCCAGCGTGTTTCCCATTTTCAGTGGTTAGGACTATAACACGAGGTCCCGGGTACATGATAATATATTGGAATTGGAATCCGAAATAAGAGTGGGCTGTAGTGTCGCGGTCATGGCAAGATTCCCCTCATAGCACACTGTATGGCGTAGACCCGTCTTCATTAGCCCAATCGGTGCAGAAAATTTGGTCACTATCTCATTGCGAGTACTGGTCTTGAGCTGCGGAGGAAAACCGGAGGATCCGCATAAAACCCATGAGGTGGACGAGCGACCCTACTCCTTGTTACAACGTTAAACCAATCGCCCACCCATTGCCCACTTCTGGTTACAAGGTTAATTATAACGCTTGGCTTTGAAAGCAGAGATAGTGTTTAACTTCCATTCGACACAATTTCGGGACTAATACATGGTACATATTTCGTATTTTAATAATTCGCTTGAACGCATGGTTCTTGAACAGTGGACGGGGGTGGGGCGGAGAGAGTTCATAAGGTTTGGCAAACGACCTTACTCCTTTTCACATACAGCCATGGGATCGAAACCACGCCACTTGACTCAATGACAAACCTTATTATGTAAAGTCCATGCGTTTGATCCCTCGACCACTCATACTTCCTATTCTATTATGTGTAATCATCGCAGCGTGCTTTTTTCTAAATTAAATTTATCTTGGACAATGCTCGCGTTTCAAACTCGCAATAGACTCATGACTCGACTTCCTTTGTTTCTTCTTGAGAAGAGGTTTGCTCGCTAACCTGGAGGTGCCGTTGTTCGATACCGGTGTTGACCGAGAAAGTTCATCGGGATATTTTGGCGTGGTTTACCCTTGGCAGTGGTACAGGACAGAGGGCCTGGCAAGGGGCAGCGTAATCTATAGTCGTTTGAATGGGACGAAAAACGAAGGTTCCGTGAACACATTGTCGTGCTCTTAAAAGAAAGCTTGAAATTCGATATAAGAGTATGCCGTAGCGCCGCTTTCCGGGCACTATTGCCCTTATAACACACTCTGTGGTGCAATGTATGCTCGTCTTATTAGCCTAGACCGAGCAGGACAGTAGGACGTTAAACCCCATTTCATTTTCATTTCTTTTGTTTCATTTCCCAGATGAAGTTAGTATTTGCCTTATTAGTAGTTGTTGTAGCAGCTCTGATGGTACCTACTGAGAGCTGGCGTGGGCGGCGGGTATGGAGACGATACGTTAAGCCAGCGGTTATCTCTTCGGCTATAAGCAGTGTTGTTGGTCGATCGGCCGACGTTGATCTGATTGACTTGGCCGCTTCACTAGAATTGGACCCCCAGTCTCCGGAATTTGCAGCCGTAGTTCAAGCACTGGACACAGATGGTAAGCCATTGGTTACGACTGTAGAGCGTTATCTGGTCCTCTGGATAGAGCAATCATACTGCTGTCTCGTGAATACCCATACGTTCCAGTAGAAAAAAATCCTATAAAAAAATTAATTTAATATTTTTTTACTTTAATAAGATATTAAATATTTTTTTTATTAATCATGTTTTGTGTCATATAAGGAATATTTTAAATTTATTTCTACATCGTAAGAATAAGAGCATCTAGGTGATCTTCGAAATATTTAATTTAAGCAATTGTTTTAATAAACACAACTTTCTGAATATAATAACCTCCCTATATGTCTATATATTTATTGGTGATAATTGAGATGTCAAGCTTAGTATACTTTCTGAAAATATCAATTAATGCCGTACGTGCCAGGTGCTTAATATTCCAATATTCTATAACAGAATTCCTTGAAAACCATGTCAATATATCCTAGAGTAGACGCGGGGCTGAATTAGTTTGTATGTGAGGTGAGGGTAGTGTAGTGTAGATATAATGTTTAAAAACATAAAAAAAAGAGTCAGAGGATGATGTAAAGGCATAAAATATGTTTAGTGGTTTTAAAAGTGGTGGTTTTAAAACATATTCCCGGTACCCCGCTGTTATGTTTGAACGTAACACTTTTCTGAACCCCTTTCTTACAGGAGACGGCAAAATCACAACTGACGAACTAGAAAAATTAAAGAGCTTGGAGGATTAACTAACAGATATGGTAAGTACCGATTAATTATCATTATGCTGATGAAATAAGGCCATACCAAGTTTAAGAGCATAACATAAATTGTTTTGGCCTAACCTCAGCTTGATTGTGTAAAATAAATTGATTGATATTCAGCTTCCAGAATAGGTCGGTCGGTCCTGGCGTTTAACGTCCACTTCCACCTCAGGTGATATCGTAGACGATCTTCCAGAATAAAGTCATATCATTTATAAACACGATAACCACATTGACTGTGTTTTATGGCCGGGTATCAGGTTCAAAAGCGATATAGAAATAATTATGATTAAATATTTGCGATATTATTCAAGTAATCTAGAAATACAGCAGAACAAAATCTAGTAAGCTGTCTTAATTTTTCGAATTAGAAGTGGTAACGGGAGATTCGAATTAGTAGGCATAGCCTGTCTCGTTCAGCCAACAGCAATGGGTTGGGTAGCTAATTTATACGCAGTCGTGTCAAACATCATTTTATTTACTCAAAAGTCATAGGCTTCTACCCATTTTCAAATATCTAGACATTGATCCAATTGGTTATGGTGGCAAACTGAATAAAACACAACAAAGAGCTCTTTTACCACTATGTGAGTGACGTGTAAATTCTAAACCGGTGATTTAGACTCAATTTAAAGCTACAACGTTGGTCGCTGCTAGGGTTTAGGATTACTAACTCTACCAATAAAACAGCTTAGATCTGAACATAGACGAGGCGATGACTACACCTTGCTCTCATTACTCAAGGTGATCCTGTAAACCCAATATTAATAATAATAAATCTCTAATGTTGAGTTAGCTCTTGAAACATTATGTTTCAGATCCCCAGTTAATGGCATTTAGACGTGTTTATAATATCATGTAATGTACATATTTTATTACAGACAAAAGCATCAAGATCGCATCACTGACAAAAACGTTAGAACACCAACCCATGGATCCATGGTATAACTATACGTATTCTAATAAATAATCAAGCAGTTTCTTAAAGTGTTACTTTATTTGGTTCGTCACAATGATTCAATAACATATTTTACCAAAGGGATTAGCGTACACTGCACCCCATCCACCCTTTAGCCTTCTCTACCATCTCCAAGACTTGATAGTATAGAGTCAATGTTGTGTACCGATGAAATCCCATAACCCGAGGTGGCTTAGTGACAAATGTGATGGCTAACTAAAACTGCGTTGACCGATAGAGTTCTCCAGATATGCCAGTCCGGTCTCTCCTAATTCGTTGACTGGCAAAAAATAGTGTCTAGCAGCTTGAACTAGCCGAAAACCCGAGATCCTGAAATTCAATGAAAAGTACGCACAAACACCGATGTCCGGAAAAATTTCCTCAAAACACATAGCATGGCGTATTCCCGTCTGCATATCTATAATGACGTGGACTGTAAACAGCTGCATAAGGCACTTTATATCTACTGGGATCAAATAGTGGCCTACTAGAAAATTAGTCAAATCATATATACGAATTCATCATCCCCCGTCTTTTCGTTAAACTAATAAAAAATGTATAACTTTTGATGGCTTAATCGAAACCAGGAAATTTTGCCCCGACAGCGGCGCTACAACCTGCACTTATATCGACTTCCAACTACCAGGGGTTCTTTTACGTACACGTCAATGTATACACGAGACTCCGGGTTTTCATCCCTTCTGAACGACTATATGTTGTCCCTTGCCAGGTCCTCTTTCTTGCACCGCTGACAACTTTCTCGGCTAACGTCTTACTTTCAGAGAAACCGTGGATCCTGTTATTCAGTACATGAGACCGATAACATCCACTTGGTTTCCTACCTTATGTAATGCCTCGAGTGTTAAGTCATCAATAGTATTGTGCAACTTTGATCGGGTCCAGGGTCATCTGAACACATAGGCGTAGATCTCCTAAGCTTTGCTGTTCATGGTGTTATTTTTTTTTAAATTTAAACACTGGTTTATCGACAATTTACATTTTTATTTATGGATGTGATTGTGAATGTTAGGGCCTCAGTGCACTGCTTTTCCCGTGGCCTATATTGTTGTTAATACGGCCCTGCCCAGCCGACTCATCCGATCGAAGCGGCATCTACGTGCATTAAAATTGCTACAGACAGACTATTAAATTCTCTCCCTGTTTATTTCAATGTTAAATCCACTATATTTATTATATTCGACGCCATATTGAACAGATTTGGTTTTAACAATTTCAGCGATTATCCATTCAACCACTCCAAATTTGCAAAAGACTATTGAATGTTGATTATATAGCCTAATGCCATACTAAAGTAAATGATCCAGCAAAACGTTATTTTAATGAAGTTTTTTATACGGATAGTATGAACACTAAATGCCAGAGATGACACGTCAGGAGCTTTTTGTGTAGGATCGGACGAAGTCTAGCTGTCGTCTGTGACGGCACAACGTGCATAGACTATAATCGTCCTTATCTGATCCGGAAATGAATTGTCAACTAAAGCCTCTCCAATGTATACGGACTGGTATATCCGGAAGGGATTATTAATAGCAGTATCGACTCATTATCCATGGCTACACTAACTGTAGTAAATTGTCCTTTCCGATTAGATATCTTCCCTTGTTACTTAAATATGTCACGATTCTTCTCACACTACCTCTGTTGTCGGGACTGACAGACTTGAATGCGGCGGCACTCGATTGTTATTACGACAATCGAGCATCCCCCGTGAGTTTTGGTTTTGAGAATTTACGACGACTTTCAAAATGCATAGTTGTGCTGCAGCTTTACATGGAGTTAATGGGTTTACCTGTCAACACGACGTTTTGCAGTTTCTCAAATTATTTTCTAAAGTTTAATGAAACTGTACTGTCAGACGTATAAACCCATTCTTGGTATCCCCAGTGGTATTGCTCTGTTCTATAGACTCCACTAATCTCTTGGTCTATCCACTGGGAACATACATAGACAAATTATCCGCCCTTGATACTTCTGCTATTTGTATCGACCAATCGTGTGGTCGAAGGGAAGTAACTAAGATTATTGTGGTGAAAGTAAACGGACACAGATCACCAAATATTTCTACGCCGTCACCCAGGGCCAAAGTTATTTTTAGTCTCTCTCTCCCTTTCTATTTTTCACCCTTTTGCATGGCGATTTTTGTTGTCTTTTTGGTGTAGAATCGAACAGAAGGGTTTGAAAATACATTTTCTGCCAGGTTTTGGTGAATATTCATGATTTTGAGGCGGAAGGATACAAGAGTTGTGAGGTTGGCTACGTTGAAATGTAGGGCCGGAAATTGCATGTTTACTTATCTCTACTTCCAGCTTGTGTATCTCAAGTTTTTCATGGTGAGCCTCATACATGCTTTTGGGCAAGAGTTGGCCACATATTGCTCCATCTGTGGCAGAAAGCGTTCTACCCAACGAAAATTTGGGAAAAAGTTAGAGCCGGTCTAATAGATGAGAATTAACATTAAAGTCAATGGGGAAATAATTAGTGATCTGTGGCCAAACAATGACGCTAAGATTGGTATATAAACTGCTTTTTGCTTGGTTCTTAGAAACAAACTACGATCAAGGGCAGATAATTTAAATTTGCGAAACCCCCGTGGATGGACCGAGAGGTTAGTGGAGTACAACTGGGGTTACCGAGAATGACGTAAACCAGACGGTGGAAATTGAAAGTCATCCTTAAAAGTTCTACTGACTGGTGTATATTTGTGTATTTCTGGTTGGGATAGGTGGGGGGGGGGGGGCTAAATGCGAATAATCCCGTGAATATGGTAGGCCAGGGGACCCCTACAGAAGGTAATTTTCTCACGTAGTCTGGGGGACAAGGTTTATTTTGCAGATCCTCTTTAGTTTTGAATTTAGGTTGTTTTTGATAAATTGGCCAAACACTAAATTTGTGCATAAGCTAAAAAAAACATGAGGATATACTCTAGAAAGCACAGTTTACAGCTCTGCACCCTTCCCCCCAAAACAAAACAATATAAAACAAAATACAATTTTCATTTATTTTAATAAACGAAATTATTCATATTGTATTATGAAAATATTGTATTTAATATTCTTCTCCACCTTCCTCTTCTCCTTCACCTTCAACAGAATCAACACCAACTTCTTCATAATCTTTCTCTAGAGCAGCTAAATCTTCTCTAGCTTCAGAGAATTCACCTTCTTCCATACCTTCACCAACATACCAATGGACGAAAGCTCTTTTAGCGTACATCAGATCAAATTTATGATCTAGACGAGCCCAAGCTTCGGCAATAGCAGTAGTGTTACTCAACATACAAACAGCTCTCTGTACCTTGGCTAAATCACCTCCTGGTACAACAGTTGGTGGTTGGTAGTTGATACCGACTTTAAAACCAGTTGGACACCAGTCAACAAATTGGATGGTTCTCTTGGTCTTGATGGTGGCGATAGCGGCATTTACATCCTTGGGAACAACATCTCCTCGGTACAACATACAGCAAGACATGTACTTGCCATGACGAGGATCGCATTTTACCATCTGGTTGGCAGGTTCAAAACAGGCGTTGGTGATTTCAGCCACAGTAAGTTGTTCATGGTAGGCTTTCTCAGCAGAGATAACTGGAGCATAGGTAGCAAGAGGGAAATGGATACGTGGATAGGGAACCAAGTTGGTCTGGAACTCAGTAAGATCAACATTAAGGGCTCCATCAAATCGTAGAGAGGCGGTGATGGAGCTGACGATCTGACCAATTAAACGATTCAAGTTGGTGTAGGTAGGACGTTCAATATCCAAGTTACGGCGACAGATGTCATAAATAGCTTCATTATCAACCATAAAAGCACAGTCAGAATGTTCCAAAGTGGTGTGAGTTGTTAGGATAGAGTTGTAGGGTTCAACCACAGCAGTGGAAATTTGTGGTGCTGGATAAATGGCGAATTCTAACTTGGATTTCTTGCCATAGTCAACACTCAGTCTTTCCATGAGAAGAGATGAGAAACCGGAACCGGTTCCACCACCAAAACTGTGAAAGATGAGGAATCCCTGAAGACCAGTACATTGATCAGCCAATTTCCTGATTCTGTCGAGAACCAAATCAATGATTTCTTTACCCACGGTGTAGTGACCTCGAGCGTAGTTATTGGCAGCATCTTCTTTACCAGTGATGAGTTGTTCAGGATGGAAGAGTTGACGATAGGTACCAGTTCTTACTTCATCAACAACCGTTGGTTCCAAGTCAACAAAAACAGCTCTTGGTACATGTTTACCAGCTCCCGTCTCACTGAAGAATGTGTTGAAGGAATCGTCTCCACCTCCAATAGTTTTATCTGAAGGCATCTGACCATCAGGCTGGATACCATGTTCCAAACAGTACAACTCCCAACAGGCATTGCCCATCTGGACACCAGCCTGGCCGATATGAACAGAGATACACTCACGCTGAAAAACAAATGATAAAAATAATTGACAAATTGTTAAGAGTTATTAGTGGAATGAAATTACGTTTTCTCCGGGTTGAACTAAAATATATTAAAAGAATGAGAACGTCTTTAAAGTTTGCTTCCAATAAAGACGGGCATAGGTCTTGTGGTGTGTCATGAGAGACATTTTGCCCTAACAGCGGCGTTTTCCTAATTCGATTTCCATCTGCCAGAGTATCTATAACGTGCTGTCATCCGAAGAAATAGACGATATTCCTTGCAGTTTTCGACAATAGAAATCATACTGGAAAATCAGGCGAACTTCCTCAGTTAAATAATAAATGGTAAAAAATAAATAGCAATACATGCGTAGAGATAACAATAGAAAATGAACTTACCATATTGCCGAATAAAAGATCAGTAATAAATAAATAAATAAAGCTTGCTATAACTGATGTAGTCAGTAGACAAGTTATAATAATAATGATTTAAATACAGTAGTTAATAGTTTATATACTCTAATAGTAACAACTAATCTTAGTTACATACATACAAACACTGGTCAACAACAGATTAGTAACACACACTGGTCAACTAGAGATTAGTAGAGATTATAGCAAATACTGTAATTAATCTCTACGTTAATAAGATATTGTTTATAATGGATTAATTGCTTAAGATTGATAAATTTGTTACTTTGATAAGGTTACAAAATTAATATTGGTAAATAAAAAAAATAGGATCAATCATATCTGATTAATATCTGGTTTGTTATAAATTAAGAATGAAAAACGAGAAATATTGATATTATATTTGTACGTATTTCATTCCATATTATTTCGTTTTCCTTTCTACAAATTCCATTGCATAGTTAGCAGGTTGAGTGTTTTAATGCATGCGCTTTAGACCATAAGGTCTGTCAGTGAATCGGGTGCCGTGGTTGCTTTATTTTTCTCTGTATCCGAATTAAAATTTGTTTTGATCTTCTGATATAATTTAATGACACAATGAAAACGCAATTTATAAACGACGGAAATGGAATGAAACGGGATTTAACGTCCTACTCTTCTGCACCGTCTGGACTAATGTTGACGGTCTTACGTCATACAGTGTGCTACGAGTGAAATTGCCCGGACAGCGGCGATACAACCTATTCCTCTTTCGAAGACCAGATTTCAAGGGTTCTTTTACGCGCACTTCAATATGTACACAGGACCTCGATTTTTGGTCCAATCTGAACGACTATCTAGACACCGTCTTGCACCACTGACGGAGGACCTGGCAAGGGACAATGTATAACCGTTCGGATAGGACGAAAAATCGAGGTCCCATGCACACATTGACGTGCACGTAAAAGAACCCTTGGCAGTTGGAATACGATTTAATAGTAGTCCCCAGCGCCTCTGTCCTGGTAACATTACCCTCATAGCACAGTCGATGGCGTAATCCCATGCATCTTCATCAGCCCAGTCGGGGCAGAACAATAGGTCGTTTAACTCTATTTCATTTCATTCATCCCGCCCTGCACCACTGACAGTGGGAAACCATACCGAAAAGTCCCGATAAACACCTTGAATTTGAAATATCTGTGGTTAAAATTTAAAAAAAGCTGGTAGTTCTTGCTATAATAGTTAATGGATGTTTAAAGCTCGATAGTCAGGTATCATTGCTACAATAATAAAGGGGTTTCAGTTTACCATTTTAACGTATAACCATGGATATGGCCGACACTGTCGAAAACCACCTAATTTCTCAGCTTTTGTCATGTGAACAAATGTGTAGATAATAATTTGAATAATATTTGAAATTAGAGAAAGAACTTGAGAGAATCCAAGTTAAGTGCGTCAATTCTTTGACACTTTCCCTATAAATTTCAGGTGGATATTTTGATAATGCGGATTTACGGCAGGAAGAAGCGAAACCTAGATTTGTTGTGATTTCGCGCAGATAGTTATATTAAGAATTTTCATGCGCTTTTCCTTCTTGACACACCATAATTTATATATTAAGACAACTTCTAGTGGTTTATCTTGTCAAAGACGCTTACTGTCTTTTCGGTTCATCAACAGACAGTAATATACAGATAACACGTACGGGTATTTTGAACTTAAAAGTTCGGGAACAAAATTAAACACAAAATGAGGCCTTAGCTGCAAGTCATCCAAACAAACTACTATAAGTCCAGGGAAAGTGTCAGAATTTTTTAACTACTAATTGCATCAATATTTAGTGGTTTGTGTTGACAGTTTTAATGGAATTATTAATGTGTGTAACATATTCAATAATATAACAATACGTAAAACAAATCAGTATTTATTGACTTTCTTACTATGTATACATCCATTGTCACTTGTTTACAGAATACTCAGAAGCTACAGTAAACAAACTTGCACTGTGTAGATGACTGGAGGACATCAACAACGCGCCGTATAATATATACAAACCCAATACGAATACCAGTAACAGTTGTTTATAAATTACAGAAAAGTACCGTTAGAATATCAGTAGCAGTTGTCTTTAACAGAAAAGAACCGTATAAATAGCAATAACAGCTGTTTATAAATTACAGAAAAGTACGGTAAGCATACCAGTAGCAGTTGCCTATAGCAGAGAAGTACGGTAAGCATACCAGTAGCAGTTGCCTATAACAGAGAAGTACGGTAAGCATACCAGTAGCAGTTGCCTATAACAGAGAAGTACCGTAACGAATGCCAGTAACAGATGTTTATAAATTACAGAAAAGTACCTTAAAAATACCAGTAATAGTTGTGAATTTTAAATTACAAAGACGTTTTGTAAAGATCATGGGAATGTTACATATTATTCCGGGACTATTTTACATGTCTTTTGCTGGTTTCTTAATAAACGGTAAGATTTTGAAGTTTTTGTCTTGGCACAGTCATGTCGTCCTCAAATATTCTCCGCCAGACGACATTTGTTATCGTACTTACGGAATGAAATCGAATTGAGTTTAAGATCTCGTCAACACATAGGCCGGTCATTTTGAATCCAACACAATAATGGTAATTATCATTTCCATTGTTACGTGTGCAATGCAATGGGATCGGCAATCTAATTAGAAAATTTACCATCAAGGGCTTTTTTTACGTGCACTCATTTATGTACACGACCAGACCCACGTGTACCATCGGAACGATTAAGCACACACACATTTAGGTGAGAAACGGGCTCCAAACACCCCCAGATTTTACTCTGCCGGCCATGGGTTATATACTCTTCAAAAAAAGAAGGGGATATTCAGAAACAATACAAAACTGCGGAAATGCACTGCTGTTTTTATTAGAAGTAACCAGTGTATGTTAATAACAGGCCAATTGCCTACACATGAACATAAATAGTTCATATGGGCGGCTTATCTGACGGCCCCATTTCACTCGCAAAGAGATACACTGTCAAAAGTGAAAATGGACGTTTTTGATTTTTGTCTTAATAATGAGTAATTGCTCCACCAGATCATTTCACCCGAAAAAAACAACACTCGGTTGGGCAGGCGACAATATTTCCTGTCCTTATGATCTAAACCGTCGTACCACCAAACTCAACTATTAAGCAACATTATTTATGCATCAGGATGTATCTTTCATTTATTTTATTTTAGGAATGTGTGGGTGTCAAGATGAAATGTTTTACCTCGAAACCAAGTTAAATCATTCCGATGCTAATACCAGATGTATAGAGATGGGATACCAAGGATTAGCAGAATTAAAAACTCAACAACAACAAAAACATGCTAACGATCTCCTTTATTTCTATAAGTATGTTATGCTTCTTGTATTACATTTTAGAAAGCGATAAAATATTGTCTCGTCGTCGCCTAATTAAATAGTGATGGTGGTGGCAACGACGGTTTAAATAGATAATGACGACGAGCCAGTGAGTTAAAGGGCAATATTGGCGTCAATCATTATCACATATGTGATAGAACTGGTTAAACAAGTTCCATATAGTCCGTTCGTGGTCTTGTTTTTATTCATTCTATACTTTAAAAAACATGGTAATGCACGGACTTTTTCTATTTCTTTTTCTCTTATCTGGTGACAGTCAATTATTTTTTATGAATTTTCAGATATCCTCATATAAAAACTTTTGGGTTTCGAAGATATTATTAGTGAGCAGAAATTCGCCCTTGTATCTGTTATCACTCGTCACTTCAGTCACTCCCCGTTTCTTGAAATCTTCATTACGCATCTATCGTAGCAATGATCTCTGTGTTAAAATTATATTTTGGAACGTGCTTAACCAGTTCTAACACATATGTGATAATGACTGACACCAATATTTAGGAGATAAACACTTCCTGTTTCGCATTTTTAGGGGAGTGTTATTGTGCAATAGACATGCCCTGAGATCATTAGAGCCCAAGACGCGTTAGCGTCGCGGGTTCTAATGTAAAATCTAATGTAACATGCTATTTTAGGATTTTTAACAGAGGGGTGTTATTGTCCAATAGACAGCGTCTAATTGACCAAACAAAACGCCAGATTCACCCTTAAGCATGTTACAATGTCCTTTATCTGAATTGTGGTTGAACAAACAGTCTATAATGCATAGCGTTTCGAGAAAGAAACAAGAATAACCAGGGGCGAATCCAGGAATTTTTGTAGGGGGAGGGGGGGGGGTCATGTTTCTGAGACAATGTATCCCCCCTCCCGCTTGGTCTCTATCGCCATTTTGGCTTATATACATACACATTGAGCTTTTAAAACAGAGAAATTCAACACCTCGTTTGACGTCAATTTTTATTATGAATTAATACAATGACTTTGTGATTCAATTTCATGGATGCAAAGCATTAATTGTGATATCACATAATGTCTATATCATTATCTCGTGCTTTGAGTGCCCATCCTGTCCCAAATCTGACGATAAAGGATAAAGCACACGGCCGAGGAACCTTTCTCATAAAAAGTGTTGATTTACAAAAAAATTATGTAGCTGAGCAGGGGGGAGGGGGGTCGACCCCCCCCCCCCTCAAACCCCCCTCTTGATCCGCCCCTGACACGAGCTTTCTTATAGCTAAACTTTTATTTGTATGATTCGTAATTGTCAATAACTTATGGAATGACCTAATTAATAAAATTTCTATTCGTAGTAACAATAACCCGGTTATTAATTATTAATATTTCTATTTGTAGTAAAAGGTAACTAGGATAATTATTAATATTTATATTTGTTGTAAAGGTAACTCGGATAGTTATTATATTTATATTTGTAGTAAAGGTAACTCGGGTAGTTATTATATTTATATTTGTAGTAAAGGTAACCCAGTTAGTTATTAATATAGATGGCCCAGTTAGTTATTAATATTTATATTTGTAGTAAAGGTGACCCAGTAAGTTATTAACATATCTATTTTTAAGGTAACTGAGTTAATAATTTTTATTTATAGTAAAGGTAAACCGGACGCCCGTGTAATGATTGGTCTGACGTATAATATGTCTACTAGCAGTTGGTGGTGGGGATCTGGAGAAGAGTTGATAGAATCTAATTCATCGAATGCTTGGATCCCTAGTGAACCTAATCACTTGACCTACCAGCATTGTGCTCGATTGAAGTACAGGTCCAGCCCATATGTCGTGGGATGGGCGAGTAAACAATGTCATAAATTACACGAAGCACTATGTCAGAGGGCAAAAGGTAAATTTGGGATTCGTTTTCCTTACAGATACATATCTCTATTCCCATCTACAAATCTTCATGAACCAATAGTTGACTATACTGTTTGTCTCGATAAGATGATTTATTCTAACTATGGTCTCTAAGAACAAAAAGAGAATTATTTAAGACTATGATCTCTAAGAACTAACAGGAAACATCACACCTGGTTATTGCATGTTCGAATCATTTTTTGTTTGTTTTATGGCATATTTGAACTCCAGAGATTCGACGCCTGGGTTTATATGTCTGAAAAGTTGAGGATGAATCCCAACAGAAAAATTAGTTAATAATTATTTTGCCTTCAGATTTGTAACCATCTACACACTTTTATTCTTTAAAATATAGACGAACCGTTTGTTTGGCAATATAGAAAGAAATGAAATAACAAAATTTGTAGCGTATGTTAATTTAATATGTACTAGACTAAATTATCCAGTCTAGTCATAGCTCCTCAGGATATTCTGATTTCTTAAAACATATTCTTAAATGTATAATTAATAATATAAAGATATATTATCTAAGAGTTATATAGACCTATTGGCTTCGAATGTTATATGAATTATTATTTAGACATTTATTAACATAACAAGCCTATAGTCAACTCTTTAGATCATCGGATGGTCGAGATTTAAATGGATTTAAACATCCGCGCGATTTACGTCCCGGTTGTTAAGGCTATATGTTCAAACAGCTATTACTTTGCTCAGAATAAAGTAATTTAAATGAAATTTTCAATATATTCCTTTTGCATTATCTATTTTTGAACTATTATAGCAGGAACATCTGGTTCTTTATCAAAATCTTACATAATGCATCTTTAATAATCAAAAACGTTTATTAAATCTACACGAAGATTTCTCATTTGAGTCCTTAGCCTAAACAATGTATTTTAGATGCTCTCATTTTGTAATCCCTGTCCATCCACAAATCGTATAAATAAACACGTTTTTGAAAAGATTTTCACTGCTGGTATGTTTCGAAGAGTCCCCATGGCGGAACCCGATCGAAATGTAATGCAATGCTGAAACACACTGGGATGTGTTGGTCAATGTGTTTAATACTGATTTGAAAGAGTGTTCGGTGCTGATAGAAATGTGTAAGTACGAGATATAGACCTCTACAACGATGAACTACGCGAAGGTTGAGTCAACGCGATAATTGCTAGGTAGTTTTGTATTTTTTTAAACCCACCCTTCAAAACAAAATACTGCTTTGCCTGGCATCTCTATGTAGAATAATAGCCTTTAATACATCGATCTGGCGGGCTTACTGGTACGGAACATTTTAATTAAATAAATAGCATAACCATAATAGGTCCTGGACAATAACTATTATTGATGCAATTAACTTTTTGCCTGGCATCTCTATGTAGAATAATAACCTTTAACAGATCGATCTGGCGGACTTACTGGTACAGAACATTTTAATTAAATAAATAACATAATCATAACAGGTCCTGCATGGACAATTACTATTATTGTTGCACTTGACTAAGATCTTCTTATTAATAATTTCAGACCTATCGTCAAATTATATGGAACTATTGTATTCAGACAAGGCAGCACCTGTAGAATCAACCGCTTTTAGAGTAAGAAGTATGATGGATTGTGTGGCGTCATGTGTATTGGATTGTTCGTGTCAAGCTATTCACTACTCTGGAGATGAATGTCGTCTAATGACGTATTATTTATTAAACTCTAACCTGACCACAACCACTGATATTATGGGTGTCATATATACAAAACTTTAAATGAACAGCCCGAACAAAATTCTAGTCAGTGTAATGAATAATTTGCAATGGAAGACTTTAGAATCCTTTATTTCGGTTCAGTTTAACAACCGGGGTCTTTTTGATAGTTTATCATGCGTTCAAATTGATTGGTGTAATTGTTGGTAGATGTTTGTGTTCTTAAAGATACATTCCCGCATACAAGCTGAGTGATTTGATGATACATTTGGACTTAAAACATATTCAAACTAATTAATTAATCTATCAAAATTTTGCTTCAAATCCTTCTCAAAATATTGTATTCGTGAGGTAATACCTATGCTATAGAAAATATATTAAAAGAGGTCATGTTTGTGTCACGTGACTTGACTGACGGTGTACCTAGCAACGGGTGCGACACCGGGGGAGAATTCATTGCATATACAAGACGATGATGTCTTTAATCGTTATTTATTTTATCATAAACATCGAAGCTTAATTAAATTCTCGGATTATCCACTGCCCATGTCCTTTTCCGTGGTTTTTATCTCAGAAACTGTAGTATGCTTAAGTTCACCATCAAGTTAATCAACACGTACATCAAGCGCTCACTAATCAGACAATCTTCGCGTGTAATCTTTGACGTCACTCGAGCAGACATCCCTAATCGTCGGGTTGCCGGTTAGGGAAATCCTCATATTTTTGTCCTGTATTCCCTCCATAGGTGTTTTTCAGGGAATCCAGTAATTTTTCTTGTAAGATTGGATGTTTCTACTTTCCATATATACTTTTATTGGAAATAACCACCCGATAAATACTTTTGTGTGAATGTATCTTTAATATAGATCTAATAGATTGATATTTAGACACATCTAGCTATGCTGTAATGGTGGACAATTGTTAATTGTTCTATCGAATTCCTCTTGTTTTGAGACCTTCCTCTAGAGCGCTATATATTTAAACTCATCATTATGTCCAGAGGAAATTTAAATCTGCCTAGAATTAATATCTGAACCGTAACTGTGTAAAGTTCGATTAAAACTGGTGTAAATTTTTTCAATGGCATTTAGTAATTGAACTGGAATATACAGGTCACAATTCTATAGAATACATTACTGCTTATTACTAGGCTTCTCTAGTCATTATCAATTTTTAGCAGTATTTAAAGGACAATATTGGTGTCAGTCATAATTACATATGTGATAAAAATACATTCCAAATATAATTTTAACACAGAGATCATTGCTAGGGTGACCCACCATAAATAAATATCTCCAAATATCTCGACAATTACGCCACAATATTTATATATATACCAAGCCTCAAATTAGTTTCACACAATTATAGTCATTAAATAAACGATCATGTTGTACTTAATAAGCTATGACCATTAATCATGTAGAAATAATAGACTGAAAACTGGTTCCAAGTGTCGTCCATAACATCCAGTCACTTTTGAGTAAAAGAAAGGTTACGTGCCCTTGTTTTGAAATTAGTCTCGCTTAACCAGTCTATCGATCATTCTACGTCTGATTGACAGGTCGGGATAATCAAGACTACATTTTTACGAAACATAACAGAAAGCTAGAACAAGAAATTGAATTTAGAAATAAGCACTTTAGACAACTCAACAATTGTTTTAAGAAACTTGTAAAAGTAAAATGAAACTACTGCTAGTATCACGTTCCTGTCTAACCCGAGTGTTTCAGAGATATTATTTGTACTAAACCAAAAGATGCCGCTCTTAACGGTACAGTTAATGATAAAGCAATTTAAAAAATAAAACAAACGTAATTTCTAAAGCTGTTGTAATAACCAAGAAGCTAAATTTTACTACTATTCAAAATCGTCAACAATAGATTTTTTACGGCTGTAATAGTTGATATATTTGTAGAGAATTGCACGTGCATGGCTATTTATCGACTCAAAGAGAGTGCGGGGTAGTCAGAAATCAGTTCGAGACACGCAACTGAAGCGTGCACATTTAGCCGTGTCGAGACCAACTTTCTGTAGAGTGCACGGGTCATCCTATCATTGCTACGGGAGATGTGTAACAAGCACGTGAAGAAACTGGAAGTGACGCCAAACATGACAAACACGAGTTATCCTTCTATATATCTGACTGAAGTGACGAGCGATAACAGACAAACGATCGAATCTCATTTCACTGATAATTCGTTGAAGTTGAAAACGAGAAAAATAGAAAAATCCCGTGCATTCCCCCGTTTTTATTCGTTCTGTTCTTAATAAAAACATGGTAATGCACGGACTTTTTCTAATTTGTTCGTTATCGTTTATCTAATGGCATCCAATTCTTTTTTTGAATTGTCAGATATCCTCTCACCGTCTCATATAATAACTTTTCATCTTCAACTGAATTATCAGTGAAATGAAATTCAAACGCGTGTCTGTTATTCCTCGTCACTTCCCGTTTCTTCACGTGCTTGTTACACATCTCCGTGTTAAAATTATATTCGGGATGCATTTTATCAGTTCTATCACATATTTTATAATGACTGACACCAATATTGTCCTTTAACTGGTGTAAGTTCCTAAACAGAAAGTTGGGTCAGGCGCTCATTATTAAGCAGTAATTGTAGTCCATGTGACCTGTATATAACCGGTGTAAGTTCCTAAACAGAAAGTTGGGCCAGGTGCTCTAGAATATCCATAAACGTGCACGACACCCGTCATTAATGAAATATATCAAGAAAGATTTCTAAAATGTAACTGAAATTACGTTTTAGATCATACTATTTATCTTCTTGTGGTGCGCCCCGCCTGCATTTATACTCTTTCAAGGTAGTTGCTCGACCAGTCGTAAAGATGAACAATTTCGAAATTAAGAGTTGCCTATAATTTAAAGATACACTATGGGAGATTAGATAAAGAGTTGGCAGTTTTCACTATCTAAGTTAAAAACTAGATAATGTAAAAGGAATTTGCTGAAAATTTCAGTTAAATTGATCCACCCTGAACCGAGAATTTAGCGATTGATTTTTCGGCATAGGTTCGATCATCATTACTAACGTCGGTACATAAAAAAAACATAGTCTCGTTTATCCATTTCATGATTTAATCGTGAATGAAAGTAACGGTTGAGCAGCAAATCGGATCCTAATCCACTGAATATCGCTGGCTAGCGATGACATCAAGAGTTGATTATGGTCTGGATAAGTTAATTAATGTCTAATTAATAATTTAGATAACATTTCAGGCCTAAAGAAAGATCTGCAATAGGCAGATTTAGCTCTTGCATAATGTATGTTTAATGAAGGTCTATGGTTTATAATATTAGGATTAGAGTAAACATTGTATTTTTATCTACAATTAAGTGTCGTTTTACCGCTTCACAGGAAATGATGCTTAGACTACATCAATAAGTTTTTCAACGATTGATTTTTTTAAATATTACGTTTATGACATATAATTAAGCTATCATGTTCCAGTAAACGTTATCAGGTTATAGATGTATTATGTAAGAATTAGATAAAGAGCTGACAGTTCTCCACGCTATAATAGTTTAACATTCGATAATGAAAAAGAAATATATTAAAAATTTCAGTTAAATTACTCATTCTGGGCGAAGGTATGAACGTTTAAAGAATAGCGTAGTGTCGATTTCTATTGCTACCGTTGTAACTATAATAAACAAAATCTCGATTATATCCTTCTAAATAATATTATTAAACGGCGATCGTGTTTCAATTCGTTCAAAATCACAAACATCCGATGAACTACTGCGATATAATAATAGCTGTCCTCTTATTTATCGTTCTATCTGTAGGTTTAACCGCGATGGGACAAGGAAGTTATGCGAGAGAGAGAGAGAGGGAGAGATAGAGAGAGAGAGAGAGAGAGAGAGAGAGAGAGAGGGGGGGGGGTAAACGTCCACTCGACACAAACTATGTCATTTCGGAACAAACACATGGTTCAATTTTATTTCAATAATTCGCTTGCGCGTAGGAGTCTTTAGCAGTGGAAGAAAACCGGTCGGAGGACCCGGAGAAAACCCACGAGGTACAAAGTTATGAAATTCATAATGTAATTTACTATGATAAGACATGAGTGCAAGATTTAATATATTTTATCTTGTGTTGGAAAATAATATGTGTCCCTTTGTTGTTGTCGGGACTAATGTTTAACAAGATGCCCTTAAATGCCAGATTAAAATCACATTACAGTGACAACAGGTATCAAAATTGGATTTTTGTAATTGCCAGCAGTAGTCCAGGATGTGTCACTCTTTCCCTTGACTTTTTTGGTTTTGGATGGCGAGAACAACTAGACCCAGAATTCTCATGATTTATAGCAGAGTTCCGTTCAAAAACAGTTTTCACATACTTTCATTCTTAGACACATCTTAAATTATATATTTTCGAACTTGGGGGATCAGTAATAAGATTAAAGACAAAACAGGGCCATGTCACTGACACGGTCATGGCTGTAAGCCATCAAATGGTCTGCTCTAAGTCAAAAAGCTTTGTGTGAAATAGCTGTATTTAACGTCCGCTTCCACCGAGGTGATATCGCAGACAATCAAAAAGCATTCTCAGACTTAAGAATTTATTCAAAATTGCTCGCCTGATCAACCAGCTTTAGAGTAAGAAGTATGATGGATTGTGTGACGTCATGTATATTGGATTGTTCGTGTCACGCCATTCACTACTCTGGAAATGAATGTCGTCTGATGACGTATTATTTATTATACTGTATCTCGACCACACCCACTGATTTTAATGGGTGTCATATATGCTAAAACTTTAAATGAACAGTCCACGATCATTTTTTAGTCAGTCAGTTTAACTTTTGGGGGCATTCAAATTGATTGGTGTTATTTTTGGTAGCTGTTTGTATTCTTAATATAAAGCTAAAATATACGATTGATTCTATCTATGTTCTTCATATAAATCAAACATATACGATAGATACTGGCTGCTTACTTAAAAATCAAACATATAAGATTGATACTATTTGTATACTTAATATAAATCTGACATATAAGATTGACACTATTTGTGTACTTAATAAAAATCTGACATATAAGATTGATACTATAATATGTGTTCTCAATATAAATCTGACATGATACAATTTATGTACTTAATATATATCTGACATATGATACCATTCGTGTACTTAATATATATCTGACATATAAGATTGGTACTATACGTGTAACATATAAGATTGATAATATGTATTCAATATAAATCTGATATATAATAAGATTGATGCTAGATGTGTACTTAATATATATCTGACATATAAGATTGTTACTTTATGTGTTCTCAATATAAATCTAACATATAAGATTGATAATATTTGTGTTCTTAATATAATTCTAACATATTAGATAGGTACTATTTTTACTTTTAATATAAATCTGATAAGAACTACACATCTAGCTATGATGTATTGGTGGTCAGTTGATTATCTGCTCTATCGTATGCATCTTCTAAGACTCCCCAGTGTGACCGAATAGGAACGCATATTGACTATTTAGTGCAGACTAAGGTGGGGAGCCACGGTGGCTAAGTAAGTAAGACACTGGCTCGCTAGTCTTGAGTTCGCTGGTTCGCTTCCGGTGTCGGTCCAGAAAGTTCATCGGAATTTTCCGGCGTGGCTCCCCCTTGTCAGTGGTGCAGGACGGAGGGCCTGACAAGGACAGATGTTTAGTCGTTCGGATGGCACGAAAAAGCAAGGTCCCTTGGCAGTTGGAATTTGATGTAAGAGTAGGCTGTAGCGCCGCTGTCCTGGCAAAATTTCCCTCACAGCACACTGTATGGCGTATGCCCGTCTTCATTAGCCCAGAGTCGGAGCAGAACAGTAGGACCTTAAACACGCAATGGAATTTAGATACTTTCAACCAGGTGACGACATGTTCACACAGGAATGACGGAGATAGGTGTGTGCAGATTGGAGGGTGGGAGTGGGGGCACACGCAATGAAATTTGGATACTTTCAACCAGCTGTCTTTGTACGACTGGACATCTTGATGACCTGGCAACTGCCGTGTCCCACGTTTATAAATAGAAATAATACAAAATCAGATACAAGTTTCGTCCATTTTATTAAACTAAACTATTTGTATTTAATATTCTTCACCTCCTTCTTCCTCTCCTTCGCCTTCAACAGAGTCAACACCAACTTCTTCATAATCTTTCTCTAGAGCAGCCAAATCCTCTCTAGCTTCAGAGAATTCACCTTCTTCCATACCTTCACCAACATACCAGTGGACGAAAGCTCTCTTAGCGTACATCAGATCAAATTTATGATCTAGACGAGCCCAAGCTTCGGCAATAGCAGTAGTGTTACTCAACATACAAACAGCTCTCTGTACCTTGGCTAAATCCCCTCCTGGTACAACAGTTGGTGGTTGGTAGTTGATACCGACTTTAAAACCAGTTGGACACCAGTCAACAAATTGGATGGTTCTCTTGGTCTTGATGGTGGCGATGGCAGCATTGACATCTTTAGGAACAACATCTCCTCGGTACAACATACAACAAGACATGTACTTGCCATGACGAGGATCGCATTTTACCATCTGGTTGGCAGGTTCGAAACAGGCGTTGGTGATTTCAGCCACGGTGAGTTGTTCATGGTAGGCCTTCTCAGCAGAGATAACTGGAGCATAGGTAGCAAGAGGGAAATGGATACGTGGGTAGGGAACCAAGTTGGTCTGGAACTCAGTAAGATCAACATTAAGGGCACCATCAAATCGTAGAGAGGCGGTGATGGAGCTGACGATCTGACCAATTAAACGATTCAAGTTGGTGTAGGTAGGACGTTCAATATCCAAGTTACGGCGACAGATGTCATAAATAGCTTCATTATCAACCATAAAAGCACAGTCAGAATGTTCCAAAGTGGTGTGAGTTGTCAGGATAGAGTTGTAGGGTTCAACCACAGCAGTGGAAATTTGTGGTGCTGGATAAATGGCGAACTCCAACTTAGATTTCTTGCCATAGTCGACACTCAATCTTTCCATGAGAAGAGATGAGAAACCGGAACCGGTTCCACCACCAAAACTGTGGAAGATGAGAAATCCCTGAAGACCAGTACATTGATCAGCCAATTTCCTGATTCTGTCGAGAACCAAATCAATGATTTCTTTACCCACGGTGTAGTGACCTCGAGCATAGTTATTGGCAGCATCTTCTTTACCAGTGATGAGTTGTTCAGGATGGAAGAGTTGACGATAGGTACCAGTTCTTACTTCATCTACAACCGTTGGTTCCAAGTCAACAAACACAGCTCTTGGTACATGTTTACCAGCTCCCGTCTCACTGAAGAATGTGTTGAAAGAATCGTCTCCACCTCCAATAGTTTTATCTGATGGCATCTGACCATCAGGCTGGATACCATGTTCCAAACAGTACAACTCCCAACAGGCATTACCCATCTGGACACCAGCCTGGCCGATATGAACAGAGATACATTCACGCTGAAAAACAAAAGATAACGATAACTGAGACATTGTCGAGAAATGTTAGAAATGGGCTAAATATTTGAAATTTATATAGAACCTCTTTAAGAGAGAGAGAGAGAGAGAGAGACTGAGAGCGAGAGAGAGAGGGAGATGGGGTTTAACGTCCACTCGACACAAACTAGGTCATTTCGGGACTAACATATGGTTTGATTTTATTTCAATAATTCGCTTGCGCGTAGGGGTCTTTAGCAGTGGGAGGAAACCGGAGATTCGAAACCACGCCAGTTGACTCAATGACAGGCTTTACGATACAGCACGCACGTGCTAACCATTCGGCCATCCACCCCATTGTCCATGGTGCAGGGCGGAGAGTCTGGGAAGGAAGAACGCCCGGACAGACGTCCCGTGTACACGTTAGCATGCATGCAAACAAAACCCCAGACAGTTGGAATTCGATTACGCGCTGCCCAAGGGCAAACTGTTCAGCGTAGCGTACTTTATGCCGCCATACTTTATGCCAATAGCATACTTTATGCCAACCCCATTTCATTTCTTACTTTATATAAATCACTAGCAGAAAATATCAAAAGAAAACAGAAGGAAATACCAAAAGGAAAACAGTTGAAAATATCAACAGAAAATAGTAGAAAACATCAATAGAAAACATTAGAAAATATCAAACAGTAGAAAGTATCAACAAAAAGTAATAGAAAACTAACTTACCATTTTGAAGGATGGGGTTCAACTTGTGTATACAGTAAAATATAAATAAATAAAGCTTGCTATAACTGATGTAGTCAGTAGACAAGTTATAATAATAATGATTTAAACACAGTAGTTAATAGTTTATATACTCTAATATGTTTATAGTTACAACTAATCTTAGTTACATACATACAAACACGGGTCAACTATAGATTAGTATCCTGGTCAAGAACAGATTATCCCAAACACTGTAATTAATCTCTATGTGGATTAATGGTAGAAGATTAGTAAGTAATATAGTAATAATGATTGTATTCATTAATGCTATGAATATACTTACTCTTAGGGTTGTATTTTCTTATCCAATCTTCCTAAATTGGCAAATAAAATAAAATGGGGTTTAACGTCCCACTGTTCTGCACCGAATGGGCTACCGAAGACGGGCATACACTATATAGCATACCATGAGGGAATTTTTGCCAGGACAGCGGCACTATGGCCTACACGTATCTAGAATTCCATCTGTCCAGAGTCCCTTTACGTGCACGCCCATTGTACACGGGACCTTTGTTTTTGTCCGATCCGAATGACTATATGTCGTGTCTTGTCAGACCATCCACACTCACCAATGACAAGGGGGCGGGGGGGGGGGGGACATTCTCAGCCAACACCGGGATCCAAGTCAGACATTATATGACATCACTCTATTATCGTTTTGTACCAATAAAAACCATAGATATCAAAATGTTTTATTTAATTAACAATTTGTTACCGACGACAGAAACCCCAGTATGAATACAAAATGGATAATGGAACGGGAACAGTGCTTAGATATATCACTTATATATATCAGAAGACTTCACGGATAATCAATGAAATTATCAATTGTATGTCATGCCGAAGTTATCAATAAGAAGACTTCATAAAAATCGTTTTACCAATTGCGCCTTTGGTTTGCTTAGTTAGTTAAAGGGGAATATTATCCGTTTCAGATTTTGAAATAATTTAAATAGTTTCAACACTGTACAACCCTACCAATGTTGTTGACACTCATTAAATTCCAGATAGTATAAAACATTAAAGCGGAAACTGTAACGGCTGTTCAATAAGAGTACTGCACAACCCTACCCAGGTATGCTGTTGCTGTTGATACTTAATAACATCTAGATAAAATTAATAAAGGAAACTGTACTTGTTGTTGTCCATTGTTGAAACTATTTAAAAATTAAATGCATGAGATACAAGAAACGAAATCGGCAATCTGAGATACCCCTTTAAGGATCTGTTTAAACTAAAGGATCACCATTTGAACGACGGAATTCGAGTTTCTAATGCAGAGATTTTTATGCAAGCATATCGAACCATTTGAAATAAAAACACGGGGAGAATATCAGTTAGAGTTCTGACTTAAAAATTACAAAGAAGCTTCTTTGAGATCATGGAAATGTTACAAATTATTCCGGGACTGTCTTACATGTGTTTAGCTGGTTTCTTAATAAACGGTAAGATTTTAAAGATTTTTTCTATTTCATACAGTCATGCTACCCTTGCTTCTGGAATTGAGTTTAGTCTCGTCATCCCAACACATTGGCCATACGACTACATGTGCAAAGCAATACGAGAATTGTGGTCGCCATCAACAGGGCCTAAGCTACAGGATCCAGAGAGAGAGAGAGAGAGAGAGAGAGAGAGAGAAATGGGGTTTAACGTCCACTCGACACAAACTAGGGCATTTCGGGACTAACATATGGTTTAATTTTATTTCAATAATAGGGGGTTCGAAACCACGCCAGTTGACTCAATAACAAGCTTTATGATACAGAGCGCTCATGCTTACCATTTGGCCATCCAACCCCCCCCCCCCCCCGCTCCCCTCAGGATCCTAGCTTGTAAAGTAACAGTTATTTCAAATCGTGGATTATAAATTGTGGAGAAAATGGGAACTTGGAGCTTAGGCCGTGCAGTAATTATTGTTTCATATTATGGATTAAAAATTGTGGAGAGATTGGGAATTTGAAAAATAAGCTGTGTAACCGTCATGCCGCCCTCATTAACTTCCCCGTCAATCGATATTTTTGATATTTACAAGAATTTGAGATCATTTGATTCCTCTTAATCAAATAATCGTGATAAAACGTTTTAAAGCCGATAATCGACTATATCTATTTTTAACGCCTTAATCTACTTTAAAATGGGAATTTGAAGCTTAGGTCGAGTAAGAGTCATACCACTCTCAATTTAATTCCCCCGTAAATTGATATTTCTCATATCTACATGAATCTGAGATCATTTTTCGGACAATATATATTTCTAACGGTTTAATCTACTTTAAAATGTACCCAATCTAGATATTGGATTCAATTGAATTAAAAGGAGGTCACTTTTTATATACAAGAACTTGTATTGGACGTTTAATCTATATATATATTATATTATATATATATATATTTGCTGTCGTTTGTCTGTCTGTCTGTCTGTTCGGGGTTGGCGGCTACACTATGTCTGCCCCAAATCTGAAATTTGGGGTATAGGGGTAGCTCGGATCGGGGAGTAACATAGGCCAGGTGGCGTTAGTCTACCACTCCGGTTTCGGAGTTATGACCCTCGAGCGAAGCCGGTCTGCCCCGAGTCTGAAATTTGGGGTATAGGGGTAGCTCGGACCAGGGAGTAACATAGGCCAGGTGGCGTTAGTCTACCACTTCCGGTTTCGGAGTTATGACCCCCGAGCGAAGCCGGGTATCCTGCCCCGAGTCTGAAATTTGGGGTATAGAGGTAGCTCGGACCGGGGAGTAACATAGGCCAGGTGGCGTTAGTCTACCACTTCCGGTTTCGGAGTTATGACCCCCGAGCGAAGCCGGGTATCCTGCTAGTTTGTTATAAACAACAGCAAAAGATTTCTTGTCTTGACTATATGATCTCCGATGGATCCTGAATGTTGCGAAATTTGGAAATGAAATGGCTGAACATCCTATTGATTCGATTGGGCTAATGAAGACGATCATACGCCATGCATGTTTACTATGAGGAAAATTTTACCCGGACAGCGGCGATATGGTCTGCTCTTATATCGAATTTCAACTGCCGTGGGATATTTTACGCGCACGCCAATGTGTACACAGGACCTCGGTTTTATGTCCCAACCGAACGACTATACCCCCTGTCTTGCACTACTGGCAAGGGTGGTGGGGTGAGTGGGGATGACGCCGGTAAATCACGATGAACTGTCTCAACGAACACCGCTATCGAACACGAGACCCCCAGGTTAGCTGGTCAATGTCTTATTGGCTGAGCCATCGCGACTCCCTCTGAATTTGGAGCGGCCAGCATTCAGCTTTCAAAATTTGGTAGTTTACATTGGAGTAAAAATCCACAATTTCGAAACTGGAAAGACAACTACTGATGTCAACATTTTAAAAATATTACAATATATTGATATAAAATAAGTCAATTTTGTGAAGAAAAAGTAGTGAATAGATAAATTGACATACTTTGAATAATTAAAATGTTGATGTATCGTTATTAACGCGTGATGTACAAAATGACACGATAAAAACACGATAAAGCAGTATTTTTCGCCTTATCGCGTCATATACGCTTCCATAAGTAGGAACCAAAGACACGGTTTATATTCACGATAGGCCTATTACTAACAGTAGTATAATTTTCATCCCGATACTGAAATAAGATGTTCCAGCGAGTGTGACATAATAAATTTCCGTTATAGATTTCGTTATTCGTAATTAAGAGTCAACATTCAAATGAGTTCAATTTACGTTTTCAGAAAATACTGTCCCTGTGACCGGGTATTCGATTATTCCCATCTATTATTCTACTGTTTTGCGATAATTTGGTTAGTTGGAAATAATTAAGACAACATGTTTGATGTCAAAAACGATCTTCTTCAATCAGAGAGAGAGAGGGGGGGGGGAGAGAGAAAGAGAGATGCGGTTTAACGTCCACTCGACACAAACTATCTTATTTCGGGACTAACACATGGTTCAATTTTATTTCAATAATTCGCGTAGGGGTCTTTAGCAGTGGGAGGAAACCGGAGGACCCGGAGAAAAACATGCGACCTCACTCCTTGTCACGTACAACTGGGGCTTCGAAACCACGCCAGTCGACTCAATGACAGACTCCTTGTAATGTACAACCGTGGAATCACAACCATGCCGGTTGACTTAATGACAGACTTTATGGTACAACGCGCACGCGATAACCATTCGCCCCCCATATAGGAATAGTGGCGAAAGTTATGCTTCATTTATTAGACATTAGTAAAATTAATATTTATTGTCTCTCTTTCCTTAGGAATGTGTGGTTGTCAGGTTGAGATGTTTTAC